CCTGCAAACGTCTCAACGTAGTTGTAGTTGTCTCATCTGCGGGACGGCTCGCCTCTGTCCTAACCTTGTTTGCGAATCGCTCCATCATGTCCCTTGCAGTGAGCTCGCCCTTGACTGCCAAGAGGTTGTCTTCCGATGTTTTCAGATCTTTTTGCGTGATCTTTTTCTGGAATTCGGCCTTGCCGATTGTGCTCTATGAAGGAATGCTCTGGCTGGGAANNTTAAAACTCTTATGGTGCAGCCAGCTGCTACTATATATACTGTCAATAATACAGCCGAGTAAACAAATTACACCTACGAGTCTGCTCCTCACACTGTCTTCCGGCCTCAGCGACCTTCTTGTCGGCCTCAGCGACTTTCTTGTCGGCCTCAGCGACTTTCCTGTCGGCTGCGGCCTCTGCGACCTTCTTGTCGGCTGTGGCCTCTGCGACCTTCTTCTCGGCCTCGGCCTTCGCCACGGTCACCTTCTTCTCGGCCTCGGCCTCCGCCACGGTCACCTTCTTCTCGGCCTCGGCCTCGGATGTTGTGGTTTTGGGACTGAGATGTTAACGCTCCACTGTAACTGTGAGCGAAAAGTCAGGAAAGGTGAGGGTTAGGGCTTGGGGATATGGAATCTTTTGGTCTCTGCGGCCTGCAAAACCGTCCGCACCGCATCGGCAAGCACACGTCTCATCTGCTCATTGTCCTGCATAACCAAGGCCTCCAGCAACTTGTCGATGGGATCGGGAGAAGGTGGCTTAGGAGCACAGGCATGCCTCTGGACCAGCTGCCTTGGGAATCGCTGATTCTCGTGGACCTGAATAAAGACATGCGGGAACACATTCTTCGTCGAGAACCCTGTCAGCGTAGCCCAAATCCACAATCGTAAGAGCCCGAACGAACAGATTGATGACAACCTCCGTGCCATGGCTACTGGGAAGCACGTGTGTTGTCAACCACTAAACACTGACCTGCGAACACCAAACGATGTCCACAGTGGTAAACTACGCGCGCTCCTGAACCATAGACGTCT